GGGGCTGCGGCTGGGAGGCCAGGGGGCTGCTGCTGGAGGTCGCACAGGGGGGACTGCTGCTCTCAGGAACCAAATGATTTATTAGTTTTTAAAAAAACTGCTCTTAAGCTGATCCAGCATTTTGCTTCCCTCCCTGCTGGACAATGCATCATCTTGTGAGGGCTGAATCTGCCAGGCCTCAGCTGTAACCTGCAGTTGCACATGCAGCTTTGCAACCTGAAAAGCCTCTTTCTTTTCTCTCACAGAGTAAGTCCCCAAGAAACAGTATTTAAGGACTGAGCTGTCCTCCAAACCCCTCTGCAGGATCTGGGCATGTTGGGGCAAGCTGTTGTAGGGCTTTTTTTTCCGATCCCCAGATCTTTCTTATGGTTCTCCTCTCTTGTCCGTGTCCTCCTTGAAACCCAAATGTCAGAACTGGCTGCAGCTACTGTCCTGGCAGTGCTCTGCGGAGATGTAAGGTTGCTCCCCAACTGCCATTTGTGGGTCTCAGGACCACCCCAGTCACGTCCCCATCCTCCGGCTGTGGTTTCTGTGCATTCGGGCCTGATCAGGTGCAGCCTGTTGGCCTGTGACCTGACAACCTGGGGAGCCAGATCCTTCTGCAGCAACCAGATGTGCTTTATTCGTGGACCCGAAACCGGGGCATGGGCAAGCCAATGTGATGCTTGACAGGCCCTGCTCTCCCTGATCCGGCTGACCGACACTTGTTATATTTTTAGTACTTCTCAGTGGACGCGTTCCCACATCAGCCGTCGTGTCGTTTCACTGGGCTCCGCACCAGGCTGAGCGCTCTGGCGCGCACTGCGTGAGCCCCATCACAGCACTAGCCGTGCCCCGCTGAGCTGCCAGCCTCGGGAAGATCCTTGGCTTTCCAAGGTCTGCTAGGAGCCAGCGCTGGGCTCAGAGCACAGCTCCGCTGGCTGCCACGGGTGCCGCGTGCAGGGGCCGCTGACCCGAAGTCCTTTAGCAGTGTCTGTCTCCTGCATACGGCCCTTGCAGCCACCAAAGCTGCCCAGGAAGGTGAAGTTAGTGATGGGTAACAGCGCTAGATGGGGGAGTTATTTGGGACAAACCACGGGGACAACACTCTTGGCATGAGTTATAATTTAAATGAGTTATCATTTGCTTCTAGCAGCCATTGCTGCCAGCCAGGATTTGTTGGCTTTGAATGCCTCGTACAGCTTTCTGTTTTCCTTGGTTTCCATGGCCTTCCATCTTTCAGTGTGGCCAGCAAACCCATGATGGGCACCCACGTCAGCCAGCTGCCAAGAGAGAGAAGGGGCCGCAGCCACGGGCTTTGCAGGACCAGTTGCCTGCTGCAACAGCCAGGGACACAAAACCCATTTCTCCCAGCCAGGACCCTTCGTTCTCCTTTCTGTCTGGCCCCTGATACAGGGAAGCCCAAGGCAGGAGCAGAAGGCACTAGGTGGGTTTCCAGGTTCCCTGTTCATGTTTGCATGTGTACCACAGTGGGCAGAGCGTGGTTGGGAGTTGCTGTGTGGCCAGCGAAGAGCCAGACAGGAGAAGATGACCAGAATGTGGTGCCTTGGTGGTGGTTTTGGAGGGTTCCTAGGACAGAGCAAGAGTAAAGCGTAACCAGGACAAACAGATCCCATTTACAAATCACTGGTACAAATCCATAATAAAGGCAGTGATTTCAATATGTTCTGACTGTGCCAAATCTCTGCTCTTGCCCTTCCCTGTTCTTGTCACCAAGCATTTGCTTGTGTAAGTTGGTTAGTATTGCATTTTCCTGGAATCTCTTTATTTCCCATATTTCAAGCTTTTAACACTACACAGAAGTGAGACCAAGGAGTTCTAGACCAAGAAACATCTCACACTTGAGATTTACCTCTAACACTGGATGTTCTTCACCTACTTACAGGATCCCTTTAGATGAAGTTTCATATTTGTCTCGACCTTCTTCCCTTTCCTTGCAGCGGTTATTTTTTCAGTCTGATCAAGTGGAAAAAAAAATAGGAAGGGAAGGAGACCCTGTTTTTTGGAGTGGTGTGAGAGGGACCAAACCAGGGACAAGACAGGGCTTTCTGTAGAGTGGTTACCTAGGAGAAGGCTTTTTTGTGTGTGTGTGATTGTTTGTTTGATTGATTTTTTTTTCTTTCTTTTTTTTTTTTTTCTGATGTGTCTGGCGAGCAGGACACACCAGGAGGTGGCAGTGTTCTTGGCAAGGCCAGATGTACTGCAGATAGTTAAGATGGGAGGGAACAGACTGCAGCAGTGAGGAATTACAGAGCTGATGTTAGCGGATGTCTGATAGGTTCTTCTACAAAGCAGGTGCCGTCTGTGCCACCCCATGAGATCAAGTGGTGGGTCTGCCCAGAAACAAAGCCAGGAGAAGATGGGCTGCACAAGGGTGCTGGGGCTTGGGGCAAAGCAGAGTCTGGTGCCAGGACTGCGCCGGAGCTGCGGTGGCTTTGGGAGAGGAGATCTCTGGGGTGGGCAGGTTGGGACGGTAGAGCGACTCCTGTCAAGCAGGCTGTGAGACCCCTCCTGCACCCCCACCTCCACCATCCCCTTCCAGGGCTTTATGCAGACTGGGAGAGGATGAGAGTCAGAAAGGAAATGGGTGACGGAGGAGTCAAGCAGGAGCAGCAGCCTCTCAGACAGCAGCTTTTGGGGCCCGGGGCAGCCGAGGCCCCAAGGGAGGACAGGTGTTGCCTTCAGGAGGACAGACACCCACAAAACCCTAGAGCTGGCCCGTTTCTGTGCTGGAGAACCGGAGCCGCCCAGGCCTGCGGCGGTGAGAGGCTTGTGCGGGTTGACTTAATGGGGTGCAAGCTCAGTCTTGGGCGGGCCGAAGCCATTTGCCATGTACAGGAATCACCTTGCAAGTCCCTGCAGTGCGGGATTACCCTGTTCCACAGTCCTGGCAAGGACAAGGTCTTGTCAAGAGAGAGGGGGACCAGGTGAGAGCAGGAGGGGCAGCGCGCTGCAGGCAATAGGGAAATAGCTGGGGGCCCTGTGTGTCCAGGGGAGCCTCTGAGTGCTGGGGAGGTGGAGAGGGAACCCCCCCATGCTACAGACCCTCATCACGGGATGTCTGAGAGCCCAGAGCACCTCTCCAAGTCTCCCTGTGCTTCCTAACATCACACCGAACCATGGGGCAGGTTGCAGTCGTTTTATTTTGGAGAATGGAGGGGGTGACATGCATGGGACAGCAGGGTGTCTGGAGCCAGCCCTGGGCATGGCAGGGGCCAAATGCCACAGAGCAGGTAGCTAAGCCAGGATCCTTGAACACTGACCATTGGGACTGAGCAGGGCTGGAGGCACTTGGTAAGGCAGGAGCCACTCTCCTAGGAAATGCAGAGAGACCTGCTGAGGTTCTGCTGTCTCCATCCTCTGAGGTTTGCAAGACTCCCTTGAGAAAATGTGAGTTATCTTGTCTGATCCCATAGCTGAGCCTGCTTGGAGCAGGAGGTTTGACTAGAGACCTACAAAGAGCCTGAATTACACTGTGATGGATCAGGCTTCAGCCCAGCTCTGCAGTGGCAAGGCAGCCCCAGCTCCACCTCTGAGGTTTTGGCCCATAGCTGATAGCCACGAGTTTCCAGCCTCCCAAAAACTCGGGCCCAGTCCTCAGTGGGGCAGAGCCATGTGGAGGCCTTAGTTTCTGGAGAGCATGAGCTGTTCGTGGTGGTTGTCACTGATGGTCCTGTTGGAAAGGGTGTAGAAGGACTGCTCTGCCTTCCAGCCTGCCTTTCTCTACCTCAAGTAGCAGATTTGGGCCAGGCTGCGGAGGCTGTTTCCACATACCTTCTTAGTGCTAAATTTCAGAATCTAAGATTTACTCAGCAGAGAAAAAAAGAAAGTTACTTTTCTATCCTTAATCTGGTGCTCAGCCTCTCCCCAGGAGACCTGGTCAGGGGTCACTTTTGGATTGGTTTGTCCCTCTGTTGCAGAGCTTCGTGTGGGAAATCAGAAGGACTTTGGAGGCTTGTTCCAGCAGAAGGATGGGAGAGATGAAGCTCTGACTCACCTATGCCAACAG